CTTGGAATTGCTGGCGCCAGAAAGATTGGGAATCCTGAAGGAAAAACAGCACAAGAAAGGAAACTTATTAATCAGAAAAAAACAGGACAGGACAATCCATAACAACAACTCATGGCTCATCAATTGCACATCAACAAACCCTTTAAAAAGCATTGGCGTTAGCTGCCAGTATTTTAGCAAAACTGATGAGCAGAAAATAAACTGGTCTACCGATAAATTTCTAATAGTGTAACAAGGTAAGACTCCCAGTAACAAAAATAATTCCCCTTCTCCCTCCAAACTATACTGCTGAAATGAAAGTTTGGGGGTAGGAATGGATTTATGACAAGACTGTGAATTTAGATAAATTCTGGCACTCAAAAGCAAATTAGTGGGCTAAGAAATGTTTAATTTTGTGTTTATATAAATATCAGGCTCTGTTGAATTGATCTTGGGATTCTGGTGAGAAGCAAAACATCCTATGAGCCTGAAGATCTGGTTTCCTTTAGAAGCGATCTTTCTCAATTCTAAAAGGCTTTATAGAGGAGAAAAGAGTGGAACCATGTTAAGTCCTCCTGTGCCATTTTTCTTGAAGAAAATGGGGCATATTCTGAATAAATATGCATAGTATGTCATGATGAATTCTCAGGCTACTTCAAAATCTGAAACAAGCTAAATCTAGTATTACTTTATGCAAATTGAATAGCATCACCTTTAGATTTCCTTGAAATAAAGAGCCATCAAGTCCCCTAAGATGTATTCCTTTCCTCTATTGAACAACCAGAAGGCTTTTCCAGACTTAAACAGAAGAGGGTTATCTATTGTTCAAAACATAGATGTAAAATGTTTGGATATTATCAAGTAACTGAAAAGAGTTTCTTCAGTTTGTTTAATGAGCATGTATTTTGATTTATTGAAAATCCCCAAATAGAATAACCATATGAAATAATATTGTTTAAAAAACATTTTTTTCCTCAAAGTCGTAGGTGAAGAAATAATGTTCAGCCGTGTATCAAGCAGAAAGCAAAGGGGGAAATCTTTTCCTAATATGCACATAGAGGACTTTAGGAAGAGACAAAAGGAAGCAGTACCAGTTCAGGTTTTTTCTGTCCCCCAAATGCTAAACATACAGGGTTTATCAGATGGCAATCTTTAATCCAAGTAAGCAGACAAAGCCATTTTCCACAATGTCTTGGCTGAAAAGACTGCTGTGATCTCAAAACTCAGGAAAAATATTATCAGCAGTGCTAATAAGGGAATGTCAAATTAAAGTGGACAGATTTTTGTTTTTAACCAAAATTTAAAAGTTCAGCTTCCAAGCTTTTGCAGCATCTTTGCTCTGTTAATAAGGTCTTCAAATTTCTAGGCCTAAAGATGGTCCAATATATGAGAAGAAATGGATCAGTACCCCATACTGGAGATTTCTAAAGGAACCTCCAAAAGTCTCCTGGACTTTTATTTGATTCCATGTTGGCAAGAACTGTTGGATAGAGACCACAGGCTAGAATATAGAGAAGACCAGCTGGTGCAATGGCAGTTATGAGATAAGCCAAACTGGATAGAAAAGCAGTAGTTTGGACAGATTTTCTCATCATACAGGTAAGTCAGTCACTCACCCACCAGAAAGGCCCATGGTGAGGTCCTGAACCTCAGCACTGGCATTTTGCTTCTTTTATGTTAGATTTCTCCACTTCTCACCAATACACCCCATTTCAAAGGCCAACAAGACCAGACACTTTTAGAATGAGAACACAATGACCTCACAGTTGAGGCTATTGCAGGAGAAACAAGAAACTGCTAGGCAGACTAAAAATGTTGGTAGGAAATGGACTGTTATTGCATATAGGGAGTAAACAGCAGCCACCATATTGTAAACCAATAGACTTCTCTTTGGCACTGGGCTTTGGCTGCCATTAAAGGTCAGGATATGGGAGGCAGGCAGATTATAGGTACAGCCTATTGAAAACTTCATTGTGAAATGAATGGGAATTCCACAAGATACACTCTGATTCATTTCAGAGAAGCTTGTCTATTATGCTTCATGTTAATGCGGAGGATGCATCACAACACTGATTTATCAGGTATTAAATTTTCTCAGATCAACAGAATGAGAAAGCTGACGGCATAAAACTAGAAGGGAATGTGGAAAACATAGTCATAGTGTTTAAGATGAATGACAGATTGAAGCATTGTGAGGTTCATACTTTGCTACAAGATAATCCAGTTCTGCAGGATTGTACCTTTTATTAGACCTTTTATGTGCACCTTTGGGAGGCAGCTGGCTAGAAATGGGGAGACTGTGAGTTCTAGCCCTGCCTTAGGCACAAAGCCAACTAGGTGACCTTGAGCCCATCATTCTCTCTTGGAGAAAGAAAGTACGTAAGGGCAACCCACTTCTGAAATCTTGCCAAGAAAACTGCAGGGACTTGTCCAGGCAGTTACCGGGAGTCAAGACTGACTTGAAGGCACCACCCCCGCAAAAATATGTATTTAAACAGGTAATAGATTGGTTAAAGAGCATCAGTCCAGAGCGAAGTGCTAAGTAGGGAATTCATTTATTTATTTAATGGATTATAGGGCTGCTGAACTTAAATACTGTGAATGCAATCTTAGGTCCATTAATATGGACGAAAATTGTTATATAAAACTATATAATCAGCATATAATTCAGTCAGTATTTGAATGAATATGATGTAGTAGGCTAGGATCAGGGTCCAAATTCAAGACACCAGCAGCTATGGGAACTCACTAGGTAGCTTTCGGCAGAGCTCTCATGATGTTTCCTCACAGTATTATTGTGGAAGTAAAATCAGAAGAGGGAATTCTATATGCATCACTTTAAGGTCCTATAACAAAACTCCATTTTTGCTTTCAATCAGCACTATTAACCCTGAATGCATTTTGATAGCCCAGAGTTATCTGCATCCAGTTACAATAAAGCCAAGCCTATTAATTATAATTAAGATAGCTTGATCTGATATTAAAAGACAGAGTAGCTAGACATTGTTCAGTCTGCTCCAGCAAAGAGTTGTTTGATTTCAATGTAATTCTACTACATACTGCTCAGGTAAATGTATCTTATGCATGCTGAAGATTCCACTGCTTGTTCATCTATGGCTAAGCCCAATTATACCTAGCTATAAAGCTCTGATCTGTAGCCAAGCTATCCAGAGGAATAGGCACTCGTATCACCCATTTCCAACAACGTATTAGCCGTCATTTGTGCTTCTTTGATTGTTTCTATCTTCAGAAGGGTGGATGATGGCTATAGAAATTTTTTTTCACCGGTGACACAATTACCACAATTCCTTCCATTTAGGTTCATCTAGTGCCTAGCTTCTCTTTTAGATGCTCATGCAAAAAAATATTCCTGCACCCCCTTTAAGAACTTTTTGTAAAGCCTGCCTATTGCCGTTGTATTTATTGTAATATTGTATTTTTTAGTAAAAGTTGTACACTAGCAATATTGAGCTTCTTAAAATGACAAATATAGATATCTGCCACATTGGTGTGAATGGAGGCAAAACTTATGCAGGCAGTTCTTTCAAGTTCAGAAGTTATCTAGGTCCATCTTACTAAATACCCTATTAATTTCTTGCACCTAACTACTTACTTTTTTCCTTCCGCTAACTACTACTTCTTCTCTTATTCTAGCACCTTTTCCATGTTGGGAGAAACAATTTAATACCTGGAAGTGCTTAAATGGCAAACTGAAGTTCTGAAGTAGAAGAATTAAATGCTAATAATTAGTTCAATCACCTCCTTCTCCACTCAAAAGTGAAACTCACTCATGACATGTGTTGAATTGATTTTATTTAATGCATATTTTACAACATGGGGTTTCCCCCTAAAACAAGCACCACCAAGAAAAGACTGGAGCCTGGTTGGCTTCCATTACAAAATCCATGAAATATAATTCAGCAGACGGGAGAAATCTCACTTTGCAGTATTTTCCCCATGAAGAAAAAATGGGTCATTTTCCAGTTGCCTCTATATGGCTCCCTCCCTTTGAAAAATGGAATGCTGTAGTAGTGGAGAGGAGGGGAGAATAAGAACCCTATCTTCTTAAATTACATACTGCATGAAGAGTTGACCTGATTGCCCCTCCTCTGCAACACCAATCAGAAAGTCTGGAAGGAAGACTGTTGTTTCTTCAATCAGATATTCTCCCACCAAGAAATCTTTGTTCCTTTAAGCTGATGCAGGTTTTAAAACCTATGCAGGGAAAAGGGCTGTAGGACAACGACTGACTCCAACTCCCTCTCAAGGACAAGCAGTGTTTCAGTACACACAGGAACCATCAAATGGATACAAACCATTCACAAGTAGCTCTGCTCACCCAGAGTGGGGACCCCTACCTATGAAGCCCCAGGAACTGGGAGAAGAGTGCTGAACCCCAACAGCAGAGTTGGGTATTTTGGAAACAGTATCTGGACCTCAGAAGATGATAAATTTATTTTTTCTTCCTCTCCTGGGAACAGCGAGGACAGAACCTGTATCAAGGAGAAAAGGCAAAGCAATCATTGAGGGGCCAATGTTATCCAAGAAAAAAAAGGATACAGAGAATTGGTTTTAAGGAGTTGACAATTCTGCAAGCTAAACATCCAATAATATTTTAGGCCTTTATTTTACTTTATTTGTATGCTATCCATTCCCAAGTACTATATAACCAGCGTATATGTATATATAAAAAGAGTCATACCATGAACCATACAGAGTTCAATTTCTGAATAATACTGAGGGCAGCGGTGTGGGACATAGTCCT